GTGTGTGTCTGTGTGTGTGTCAGAACGCTGCCTGAACAGAAGCTGGTGGTTTCCTCCTCTGAGCTCTGATTGGCTTTCAGCACTGAGCACCCGCCTTCTCCAGGTGAGGAGAGAAAGTGCCCCGTGAAGGACTTTGGCCATTCATCACTCACATCGTTTGTCTTTGCTGTGTGTGTGAGAGAGAAACACACAGACACACACAGACACACAGCAGGAGGCCTCTCTGCGTCCCTGTGAGACAAATTAGTATTTGCGTCTGCTCTGAGGTCTCCGGCAGCCCGTTGGCTCCATGTTTGGATGTGTTTCCATGGAGAGCGGCGCTGGAATGGCGCCCCGCGATGACGGCAGATCGGGCCTTTTGTTCGGGAGGCGGCCTGAGCTGCCAGCGGCCGTCGCAGCGCTGACCGCTGCGATAGCTGTAGTTTCTGTGCCGTGGACGTGTGTTAGAAACGAGGAAGCCTCCACAGTTTCACTTCCTGTTCCTCGGACTCTCACGGAGCTTCAGCACTCCCGTTTGGTCGGTGACGACTGGAAGAAGATCTCTTTGATTCCTCAGGCCTGCGTCCGCACGCTGCCGTCTGAGCGCGCACTGCTTCATTCAGCGTTCTTTGTCGTTGGGACGTTTCTCCTGTGAACGATTCCTTTGACTTTGTCGCTCCTTCAGTTTGTCGAGAGAAAGAGGAGAAGGAGACGAGGCGCTGATGCTCGAGGTCATGAACACAAATCTACAGATTTCAGTAACACCACAGATGGTGGTCGTCCCGCCCCTGACATCAAGCAGCCAATCACCAACCAAAACTGTTTCATGGTGCGCGAGAGGTCCAAAGGAAATCAGGTGTTTGCTGCTGGTCGTCTGCTGCAGACAGACGGCAGTCGGAGGAAGATTTAGAGCTCTGTGATTGGCCGGGCCTCTGCAGGAATGTGACACTATCAGCAGGAATGTCAGCTGTAGCTTTCCCTCCCTGTCCAAGTGTGTGTGTGTGCGTGTGTGTGTGTGTGTGTGTGTGTGTGTGTGTGTGTTTTATACCACTGCAGTGCATTCCAGTCTGTAGGATGACACCAGCAGAGAGGGAGGAGG